GCTCACTCTTGGTGTGGTATCGTCTGTGGGTTTGGACAAAGGTGTGACGGCATGCATCTGTCCTAAAAACACCTCTTTGCCCTGACTGTTCCTCCCCTCCCCCCAGCCCCTGGCAACCACTGATTTCTCTTACATCTCCACAGTTTTCATTCTTGGTCCGTCACAGAGTGGGAGTCACGTGGTAGGCAGGCTTCTCAACTAGGCTTCCTTCACTTAGTCACAGGCACCTGACTTTCCTCCATGTCCTTTCATGACTTGCTAGGGCATGTGTGTTCAGTTCTGAATAGCACCGGTATGTTGTTGTCTGGATTCACCACGGCTTCTCTGTTCACCTACAAAGGACATGGTGGCTGCTTCCGAGTCTGGGCAATTAGGGATGAAGCTGCCATGACATGAGTGTGCAGATCATTACGGAGCCGCCATTTCCCCCCATCTGAGTGAGCGCCCCCCGGAGCATGGCTGCTGCGCTGCATGGTGAGAGTGTGTTCACTTTTGTAAGAAACTGTCCAACTGCCCTCCGGAGTGGCTGCTCCGTGTTTCATAGCCACCGGCGATGAGTGAGGTCCCCGATGCTTTACAACCTTGCTGGCACTTGGTGCTCAGTGTCTTGGATGTTGGCCATTCTGACAGGGGTGTGATGGCATCTCATGGTTTTAGCTTGCGGTTCCCTAATGACATATGCCACGGAGTCTTTTCATATGCCATTTGCTGCTTGCATATGTTCTTTTGGGAGGTGTCTGGGAACAGCTTTTGCCAATTTTTTAATTGGGCTGTTCATTTTATTGTTGAGTTTTACAAATTCCTTGCATATTTTAGATAATAGCCTTTATCACATGTCTTCTGCATACATTTTCTCCCAGTGTGTGGCTTGCCTTCTCATGATCTTGACATTGTCTTTCACAGGAAGAAGTTGTTTAATTTAATGACGTTTAGCTTATTATTTATTTATTTCATGGATCATGCCTATGGTGTTGAACCTAGGTCATCACCATAGTCAAGGTCATCTAAGTTTTTTCCTGTTACGTTCTAGAAACTTTATAGTTTTGTGTTTCACATTTAAATACATGACCCATTTTGAGGTTGGTTTTGTTTGTTTGTTTTTGTAGAATATAACGTCTGTCAATATTCAGTTGTTCCTGCACCATTTGTTGAAAAAACTATCTGTTCTCCATCAAATCCTCTTCAGAGATCAGCCGGCCAGGTCATGTGGGTGTGTTTCTGGCTCTGTCTCATTCCATGTATCTATTTGCGTGTTCTTGCACTGACACGGCCTGCCTCGATCACTGTAGCTCCGTAGCGTGGCACCGCATCAGGCAGCATCCATTCCCTCCCTGACCTGGTTCTTCTCCTTCAGTGGCGAGTTGGTAGTCTGGGTCGTCTGCCTCCCTATAAACTTTAGAACCAGGTGATCTACATCCAAAAAACAACTGGCTGGGATTTTCATTGGCGTTGTTTAGATGGAGCTGACATCCTGACAATGTTGAGTATTGAGTCTTCTCCATGGACATGGGATATCTCTCCACTTATTCAGGTCTTTGGTTTCCTTCATCAGAGTTGTATGACTTTCCTCACATAGATCCTGTAAATAGTTTATGAGGTTTATATTTAAGTTTTTTATTTATGGGGTGCTAATGCAAATGGTATTGCTTTTATTTCAAATTCCACTTGTTCATTGCTGATAATATATTATAAGAAAGCAACTGACTTTTGTATATTAACTTTGTATCCTGCACTCTTGATAGTTCCAGGAGTGTTTTTGTCAATTCTTTCAGATTTTCTATGTAGACAATCAGGTCATCTGGGAACAAAGTTTAAGATGTTCTTCTCCATCTGTGATGTCTCTTACAAATATGTTAATGTTTCTTTCAGATTGACTGTATGTACCCTCAGTGTTTGTCTAAAGTTATCTTCATTTTCCTTATATTTTTGTTGGGTATATTGGGTACAGAATTCTAAGTTAACATGTGTTTCGCAGTGTTTGATATTTCATCACCATTTTTCTTCTATTATTTCTAGTAGGCGTCATTTAAATTATTTTCCCATTCTAGTTAATCCCATCTCTTTATTTGACTTTCAGATCTTCTCTTTCCTTAGTGTTTTATTTCCTTTATGACATGAGCTTCCTGTGCTTGAACTTGACTATGACCAACTGGAGGCTTTCTCACTGGCCTTGCCTGGGACTGTGCACTCTTGAATCAGAGAAACTCTCCCCAGCCAGTCTCTGAGAAATGTCCTCCTCTCTGTTCTCCATTCTCATACAAGGGTTTCAGATACCAGGGTTTCTGATCAGTTATATGATTGCCATCTCATTCTAAACTCCTATTCTCTTAAAACTATGTTTGACACTGCAACCCATAGTACATTCTGGGCCATTGCCTCATCTCTATATTCCAGTTCACAAATTCTCTCTTTGGCATCACCTAATTTGTTGTTTCACTCCATCCACTGGGGATTCTTAAAAATTCCAATAGCTAAAATTACGTTCTATTCAATTGCTACCTTTTCCTGTTGTGTCTGTGTTAATTTACATTTCTTTATTTTGCTTTAATTAACATAAAACACATTTGTTGCATATTCTGTTTCAAAATGCCATTTCATTTCCTTAAGTTTGGGGGGAACTTATCTTGTGGCTTTTGGTATATGGACCCCTCCACGCAGGAGGAACATGTTTGACGTACAGCACTGGTCACGTGCTCCCTCCCAGTAGGGTTTGGCTCTGCAGCATCAATGCCCCGCACCTGTTCTGCCTGAAACATCAGACACACCACAGGTGGGCCCAATACTTAGGTTAACTTCCCATTCCCTCAGGATCGCACAGGCACTGCAGGTTAGATTTGCTTCACTCCCCCCCTGTCTTACATGTTCTGCCCGTTTCTCAACTGTGATTTCCAGGCTCCTCAGTGCCGAGTGCACGTGAAGGACACCTCCCTCCCCTCGGAGCCACAGGGCACCAGCCCACGCGTAAGCCCTGGGCTCACCCATTCCCCCACGAAGAGGCGGCGGTGCGGTTTGTTTTTCGCCAGTCCCTGGAATCCCGCTTTCCCTTCTTTACTTTTTAGTGTTCTTTTTGGCAATTTCACTTACGATTTTTTAAATTGATTTCAGAGAGGAAGGGAGAGGAAAAGAAAGAAACGTCAGTGATGAGAGAGAATCACTGCTCGGCTGCCTCCTGCATGCCCTCTACTGGGGATCGAGCCTGCAGCCCGGGCCTGTGCCCTGGCTGGGAATCGAACAGAGACCTCCTCGTTCACGGGTTGATGCTCAACCACTGAGCCACGCCAGCCGGGCCTCCCATGTGATTTGTAAATGTGACGAATTTAACAGGAGACATTTCATGTGACTTAGGTCTGCATCTCGCTGGCTCCAGAACTCTGAGGCTGTGAGAGCCCTCCTAGCCCAGAGCTCCTGTGTCCGCACTTAGTGTAGGTGAGAGGCATGAACGTCTCTCCTGTGGGGCCATCATGTTGTTTGGGGTTTTGTCCCGCAGTCAAAAGCGATCCTGTTACACCGTGACTCTGTAGACTGGAGACTAAGAGCCGAAAGGAGACCTATTACTGTTGTCAAAGCACAAAGACTCCCATCCTTGGGAAAACAGAGCGCTCCTCAATGGGCGTGGTGTGAAGAGGGGAGGACCTCCCCAGAGGGTGGACTGACATTGAGGTAATGGCTTAGGACCTGCAAATGGCCAAAATGACCTCTGAAACTCTCTTCCTGCTTTTAAAAATGTCTCCATAGCCAGGACCGGTTTGGCTCAATGGATAGAGCGTCGGCTTGAGGACTGAAGGGTCCCGGGTTCGATTCCGGTTAAGGGCATGTACCTTGGTTGCGGGTATATCCCCAGTGGGAGGTGTGCAAGAGGCAGCTGATTGGTGGCTCTCTCTCATCGATGTTTCTAACTCTCTATCTCTGTCCCTTCCTCTCTGTACAAAATCAATAAAATATATTTTTTTAAAAATGTCTCCACATGCAGAGAGCGGCTCAGTGTTTGGACAGGTTCAAGCCTCGGATTAATGAGAGGGCACGGTCCTCACGTGGCCAGGCCATGTGCAAGTCCCAGCTTGGAGGGCAGAGCCCTCCCAGCACAAGTACAGCCAAAGGCTATGGTTGTCAGCTTGAACCTATGGTCTGAACCTGTGGTCCCAGGGGGCTGAGTGATGTGGGCCTGATACGAGTTCAGGTGCATGTGCTTGAGTAGATTCGAAACCCGCGAGAACATTGTGAACATCTTGACCAGGCCCTTGCTTTGCCTGCTGGGATCCGACTAAAAAATAAAGACTCGGCTTGCAGACTGTGCACTGTCTCCCATCCAGGCACACTGGCCCACGTGGTCCAGCGATATCCGCTTGTCTGTTTTCCTTAATCCTTCACCGCCCCCCTTGGCCGTGCTGGATGCAGTTCATCTACATGAACAGTGTGGTGCGCGTACCCCCAGGGGTGCGGGAAGAGTTTGGCGGGGGTACACGTTGCACCAGAGTTTGGTGGGGATATGCACTGACTGCATCGTGCTTAGCTGTGCCTAATTCTACGTTCTCATGAGTACGAGGGGTGCTCAGCGTTACGAAAATTATAGAAGGGGTACACGTATGTCAAAAGTTTGGGAAACACTAAATTCTACATCACCAGAAACATCATCACCCTAAAGTATTTTGATTGAATAAGAAATAGAAGAAAAAAAAAGACAAAAGTCGAGAGAGACACATGTACCTTAAGCATATGTTTTGACCCAGCACACCGCCCCATGTGTCCCTAGACCCCTAGCTCTTCGGGGAAAAGATTACTATCTTCAAGGCAGGACACCTTCCCAGCCCATGTTCATTCCCGACAGGACCGCCTGCCGGGGTGCTTACTAAATGCAGCTTCACATCAAACACTCCCCTCCTGGCGACGCCACCCCTGCGATGGAGACCCCATCGTGAACCACATGGAGGCATGGGGGCCCCTTCTCCACGGAGACTCCGCCACCCAGCGCACTTCACTGGCCCTCAACAGCGTGTGAGTACCTGGCCTGCCCGCGGCCCGCGCAGCGCCCTCTCTGTCTTCGTGCAGAATGACGGCCAGGCCCTCGGAGTCGGTGGGGAGCACGGAGCTGCTGAAGTCCACGCGGGTCAGGCTCTCGGGCTCCCTCACGAAGGCCCCTGCAGCGCCCCGGGGATGGTCCCCGCCGGTGGCCGTGGCGGGGCCTTCTCTCCCGGGCCTCAGCACCACGTGGACGATGCTCTGCTGGCCCAGGTCGCAGCTCTGCGGGAAGAGAGAAACACGCGAATGTAGTCTAGTGTTCACATGCTGGTGAGGGTGAAGGAACCAGAGTTCCAGGCCCGGTGCGAGCCTAACTCTGCTTCTGTGGATGTCAGCTTGCAGTCATGGGACATGAGGAGGGGACGTGGGACAGGCGTGTGAGGGGTAAGGTGGCACCCGTCCCCTGCCAAGGGCACCCTGCTCACATGTGTGTCTGTCCCACCGGACAGGGAAGTGGTGGGGGGATGAATGAAGCACAACCACAGAAAACCAAAGTGCTGTTTAAAGGGACATACACTGTAGGTGACAAAGAGGCGCCCTGCAGGCTCGGCCTACTCAGGCAGTGAGAGGCGATGCTGCTTAAAATGGCGACTTTGAAACTTCATTCACTCATTCATTCATTCATTCATTCATTCATTCATGTCGTTAAAGATTTTTAGATAGAGAGGGAGAGACAGAAACATTGATGGTTCACTGATGTTTATCTCTCCCTCTCTCTCTGAAAACGGTTTTTAAAAACTGTGTTAAGGGAACAGACGATCATGGGAGTCTTGGACACGGAAAGATGGCGGTGGAGGCCGCTGAGGAGTCACGGAGCGCAGGGAGCTAGTGGTGAGGGTGTGCCCACCCGGACCTGCTGCCCTGGGGCAGGGCCTGGCCCAGGAGGCAGCTTCAGGTCTGGATTCCCAGCAGGCAGTCTGTGCTGGCCCAGGAGCTCAGGTGGTACCTGCCTCTTCCTTTGATCCTCTGCCACCCAGGCTCACGGCCTCGGTCAAAGACCCGTGGGTACGTCCCCTCCAGGCTGTCTGCTCCCTGGGGCGGTGGGTGCAGTCCTAACACCACCACCAAGGACCTGCTTATTTACCCTCCCACTGAGGGCGGGGAGGCTGCCTACATTAGGTCAATCACCTCGAGGAAAGAATTGATCATCTCGTCAGGCAAAGACCCTTCAAAGTTTCAAGAGGTCTTTTTTTTTTATTTATAGTAAATAAACTTTATTTATCTGTTCTTCGCAGATGACATTGCCAACAATCACAGGTTTGCATACAATAGTTATGTGTTAACTATTTGCAATTTACAGTATTTTTTTTGTGTGTGTGGAAATATTGGAATCATGTCTGCAGGACAGAGTGCACAGAAGGGGCCACGTGCTGACCTGACAGCTCAGGGGAGGCCTGCATGGCGGGCTGGCAAACTCAGACCTAAAGGAGCCACAAAGGATGGTTTGACATTAAACTTTAACTAAAAGCCATTAGGGTGGGCAGTCAGCTCCTAGGCTGGTATCTTCACCTAAACTGAGCCTACGGGTCTTTTTGCATCTATAATAACACACCCTTGAAATGTCTGAGTAGCTTGTAACTTCCCTTCTTCTGGAGCCCTGAGGCACAACCTAAAGCACAGGCTCCAGGACAGATTCCACAAATCCCTTCATTGTTATCACATTCATTGTTCCTGCCCTGCACCCACCTAAGTCTGTGTCCATCATTTTACTTTTTATCCAGCCCCAGGGGTTCCCTGCTTTGCTTTATCCACCCCCTTACTCTATCACCAATGGATTTCAGGTAACCCACCCAAGTCCCTCCTTTGATTGTAAAGAATAAATACAGAGGTAGCCACCATTCTCCAGAGCATTATCTCAATTCCTTGAGGTTCTGCTTCCCGACAGGCATATGTGGACAGTTTGGCTCAAATAAACTCACGAGGATTCTTTAAAAAATTTTTTTTATCTTATTGATTATGCTCTCACATAATTGTCAATCACAAGGATTCCTTACAGGTTTCAATGGTTTTTTAGCAAAAGGGACCTCCAGTTAACATGGGGGGACAGGCAGGGGGTGGGAGCGGCTGGGAGCCCCAGGGCCTAGCAGCAGCAATCCTTTGCGGGATGGGACCTGCCCCAGGCTGGAGGTTTGGGCCCTGACGTTTCCTGTCAGAGGTAACATCCGGGCCTCAGGCCTAGAGAAGCACCCACTGCAGAGTAACCCCACCAACGACTGCCGCCGGCAGGACCCCTGCCCTGGTGCCGCTGATCAATCAGAGGGGACCCCAACTCTGAGAGCCCCCCTGGGAAGCTGCTGCATATGCTACTGAGATCTTCCCCTGGGACCTCCTGACCTGTCCCCCTGGCCCTTAGGATGAAGGGCCCAGGGCTCCCGCCCCCCAGCCCAGCTGCGTCTCCATTAGCTCCGCCTCCCAGGCTGCAGGGCCTTGCTCCTCCCGCACACGCTTTCCTCTGCCCCTTCCTTCTAGTTCCTTCTAGGAGCCGCTTCTGCTGCTGTGATTCCCAGGAACGTCCTCCGTGTGGGCCTGGCTCTGACTTCTTTCCCAGCCGGGGCCCAGGTTTGCTCAGACCCCAGGGGTCAGACACCCAGTGCCGCTGCCACAACAAACCACACAAGGCCCTCCCGCACCCAGGTGGGCGCCCCCCAGGCCCTGTCCTCCACCTCCAGGTGGCCCGGATGCTGGAAGGGAGCCCAGGCCCAGGCTGGAGAAGGTCACAGTGGGAGGTGCGAGGAGGGAGGGGAGGGGAGGAGAAGAGAAGGCGCGAAGGGGACTTACGGAGAGGTGCATCTTGGGCTGGAGACGTGCAGGAGCCCTGTGCAGAGCAGGAGTTAGAGGTTCAGTTCTACAGTCAGGAACCGCCTGGGTGGGGAGGGAAGCTGGGATAGGCCCTGGGGCAGAGGGAGGGGCGGAGGGAGGGGCACAGGGAGGGCCGCAGTCCCCAGGGACATGGGCGGGGTGGGGTGCCTGCTGAAGCTCCATCCCTCTGGCTCAGCCCAGCACTGCCCCTCAGGGGTGTTGCCCCTCACCCTCCCAACGTGTGCACAGTCTGGGCACTGGTGGTAGGTCCTTCACAGGGCTCTCAAACCCCCACCTGACACCCCCACTCTGTCACAGCGCCCGCCCCCCCCTCCAATGGCCCACCTGCTCCTGACGTGGCCTCCTCTCTGCTGCCCCGCACAGCCAGGTGCCCAGTGACCCGTTCTGATGGCGTCCCTCCGCCTTCAGTTCTTCCCTCCCACTGCCCTGCGGTCGCCCCACGTGCCAGAGCCTGGAATCGCCCACCTCCCCATCGCCCACCTCCCCGTGGACCCTGACTGACCACATGCACAGGACACAGAGCACGTGGCGCTGCAGAACCTGCCCACAGGTCCTCACAGGCTGGCCATCTAACCACTGAGCTCACCGGCCAGGGCTGGGGACCTGTTCCCACACACGCTCCCCAGGGCGGCCGGACGACCCGTGACCTGGGAAGGGCGGGCCAGCTGAGTCCGAGCGGAGGGAGCACTGCGGAGGGAGCTCTTCGGAGGGTTTGGGTGATTCACCCACAGGGATGTGTAAGGGGGCGCTCTGTGGCCCGTGATTTCCCTCTCTGAGCCCATTGCCCTTCAGACACCCACAGGCTCTCCCCAGTTCATGACCAGGGGACGGCTAGCGGAGTCCTCTGGTTTATAAGCATCCAGGTCAGCCCAGGGTCACAGGTCAGCCCCTGCCCAGTGCTCTGCGCCTTCTATGACGCTGCTGCCTCCAGTGTCCTCAGTGGGGTCATTCATTTAAAAAAAATATATATTTCATTGATTTTTACAGAAAGGAAGGTAGAGGGTCAGAGAGCTAGAAACATCGATGAGAGAGAACCAAAGATCAACTGCCTTCCGCACACCCCCCACTGGGGATGTGCCGGCAACCAAGGTACATGCCCGTGACCGGAATCGAACCCGGGACCCTTCAGTCCGCAGGCTGATGCTCTATCCACTGAGCCAAACCAGTTAGGGTGGGGTCATTTATTTTAGTTCCAAGTTATCAACCCCCCTCTCATCAGACAAAATGCTCCGTCCCCCACCCCCTCCACCCCCCATTCCGCTGGCCTGTGGTCACCCGTCCCCAGGCCTGCAGCTCTGAGCTCCGTCTGCAGTGTTCACAGCACACAGTGTCTCCCTTAGAAAAGCAACAACGATTCGTCAGGAATTATCAGATGAAAGATTTCCCAATTTAATAGTCAATGATGTTATCAGATTTTAATTTTAAAAATGATTTCAACATTAAGGAGCTCTCACTTTGATAAGTTTAAAGAAACACTTTTTAAAGCAACTGAAATTTAATTCCTTTTTTTTTTCTTGCTACTAAAGATCCAGAATGCACATTACTTGCTCCTTCTGGAAATAACTTCCAACAGGCAGATGCCCTGTAAGCCCGCGGAGGTTTGGGTGGGGCACTTTGTCTGTGGAAGGACGGAGTGGCAATGTTGGGGAGCGTGTGAGGGCGTTTTAACGTAACGGCTGAGGAGTGCGGTGCGTGGTGACTGCCCACAAGGCGACTGCGTGGCAGAGACCGCTGGCAGAGATGCTCCGGTGAGTGCGGAGCCAGAAAAGAATTTTTAAGTAAAAGTAGCAAGTTGCCAAAGAGGATATATTGTTAGCCCGTTTACTACACATCGTATGTAGGTTTTTTACACGCAGTAAAAGTTTGCGCTTCTTCCCCTGGGTTAACGGCTATTCTACACAGGCCTGCTGTCTGCCTCGGGAGCTCTCTCCGTCCCTCACATCGGGCGTGTTTTAACCGTGTTCGGATTATGTATACATGAGACCGGTTAGCGTGCCATAGCTCTGGCATGACTGTGTATCTTCAAACCCAATTGTTCTAGTTATATTAGTGTGATGTTTTAAGGATTTAAAACAGTGTAAGAATAATTATTTGTGTGATTTAAAATAGGAATGAAAGCATTTACTTTTATGAGTGAGTGATTTATAGTTTAAGTGTGAATTTTATTTCTGATCTTAGTCTGATTTTATTTTAAGTAAAAGAAATTATTTGGAATGTGCTTTAGGCTTAATATAAGTAACTCCATATAATGTGACTTGAATCCATTTTGTAAAACTTGAGTTTTAAAACTGACTTTGAGCCCCTAACTGTGTGAACGCCCTAACATGTTCTTATCTGGAAAGTTGTAACTGTGTGGACGCCCTAACAAGTGTTTATTTGAAAAGTTGGAAACTGAGGCAAAA